CTTGACACATGTTGACACCCAAACCATCGAACCATTGAGTCATAGCAAAGGGGGCAACTCAGAACTCCCAATGGTCAGAACTTGTCAGAACTCAGAGGCAGCATCTCAGCCTAAGCGTCACGGCCACCCAGTGGGCCGCAAACAACTCAAGATGCCATGAGTCAACAATCGCTTGCGATCATTTTCTGTTCCGCAGCATTCAGCTTGACCATTCTTGAACATGGATCACGTTAAATTAATCTTGTAAAAGAAAGTGTGACCATGGTTTCTTGAAGTGTGCGGTGAAAAAAAGAAAACTCCTCAGTCCAATCATTCAAACACCTAAATGTCTTCAATCCCACGCCTTGTTTCTTTTCTCTCGACCGTTGTTACAGACCTGACAGACCGGACTGCGTGGATCGAGCGCTCGCATGCGCTCGCGCGCGGGGTCTTCTGCCTTGGCTGAACAGGTCCCTTCTCGTGATTGCATGTAATACTGGGTGGCGTGATGAATGCCTGTCAAGCAGTGGAAGGGTTGGGGATGCAGAGGCTCGCAGAGGCTGAAAACCACCTTTTGAAGCTATGTGATCCACTCAGGTGTTGATGTGAAAAGCATGAACCTCTTGGGGTGTCTTTCAACCACCCTGCCCCAAAAGGAGTCCATCAAGAGTTGCGTCAAGGAGGTGCAGAGGGACAGCCAAGTTGTGAGAGCAGTGTCTGAAAGAAGTGTGGATTTGATCAGGTGATCTGCTCTTTTACCTGGGTAAATCGCCCGACATCTGGGGAACCGGTTCCTTGAACTAGGTAAATCCCCTTTCAGGTGATGTGGTATTTTCCCGAACTAGGTGAAATCCCCCAAACACTGGGGAGTGTTTCTTTGATCTTTTTGTCCCGGTTCCCGGGCAGCAAATCCAAGCAATGTGTGCATCCTGGGCAGCAAATCAGGTGGTGCTTTTGAACAGGTTCTTTTCATCGATTGAAGTGTCCAAGGGTCAGACTCATAGCAGAAGATTTCTCGGAGTCTGGCCAAGAAGATGTTGTTCTTGTTGCCTCTGAAGCGAACCGTCCAGGACAGGACAGTTTATATATGTAGTCGTTTTTCCAATGATGTAGACGACCTCAAACGCATGAGCCAACGGATTGGCCTAGTTTTATGGCAATTGATGGATTTGTTTTCTCATGCTCCACACTTTCTTGCAGGGAGCACAACCTGCTGAAGCAGGTTTTCAGGGTTCTTCCTTTAAATCTGCTACTTCCGCAGCCCAGTGGGCGGAGTAGTTGAATGGAGTCGCTGGCACAGTGTAACAAGAACGATCCTATGAGGCAACAACTTCTGAATGGGGCAGACGTACAGTTACAGGGTAGAAACCATTTCAATATGTTAATTTGCACAAATGATAAATTGATATGGTTAAATTGATATGAGCATTATACTCCTCTACTTCACGGTTTTGGTGCCCAGGAATATTGATTATTTTTTTGGATGATGAGAGAACTGTAGGATTCGAAAGTGAGTGATAGACCCATCATCAAATCGATATGTAAGACTCTTTTTCGTTGGAGGGCGCAGACGCACAGCGGCACATGCCCCTGATCCATCACAGCCCGGCTGAGGCATCCGTTTTGACTCAGAGGGGCTCTGTTTTGACCTCCAAACACATGAATAAGATCGGACTCTTAAGGAGGTCCACCCATAGTGCCTTTTGTGAGGGAATGGTTTCAGATAGCCTATGATAGCTCTCTTCTCATGGTTCTTTTATGCTTTTCTGTCCGAACTGGAGGCCATTGGTACGGAGTCCGAGATGCGGCGCTTACAGGTGGAGGCCGGGGAGATCCCCCGGGACGCGCGCGCGGTGTGTGGCCGGTAACGGCTGGTTGCGGCTGAAGAGGGGATCCAACAAGATTCTTCTGCATTCAGAAGACCAAATAAGGTGTTCTCAAAGCAAACTGTGATATGTGATGTAGCAAGGTATTGCAAGTATATTCTAATAAATAGGGTGCCCAGAATCACTCATTCGGCAAGTGCTTAAAGTCTATCCAAGCATGGTTTCAATATATAACAAGGGTTCTTCCGCACACGGGTGCCCCATATTCCCCAGTAATTAAGATAAAACAAAACTGACATGGGCGTTGCAAAACCTATTCAGGTGGCCATGCCATCCACTTCGAGCATAACGGTTGTAGTCCTCCGGTCTGAAGATTCACTTCAACCTTGTTGCAGAGGAAGGTGTGGATGAGCTGAATCTTGGAACATTGCAATATTTGGATACCCTCCATGGGACTAACATGGAAGTGGACAACCACCTGCTTGTAGTGGAAAATGGTCTTCCAAGGGGCCATTCTCCACTTCCATGTTAGTTCCAGGAGTGTATACTTGGCAGATTTGCGTGATATGATTGGGTTGACCCACAGGGGTGACTTGGGTTGAGTGCTTGACTTCTCTTGACTTGATATGATTTCCAATAGACCTGCTGTCAGATAGGCCCATTTCAAGAGCTGGACCCAACACTCGCTCAACACACGCTCCTGAACGCAACCTGGCCACCTGGATGCAACTGCTACAACGAACATGAAAGTGGATGGCACGGCCTCCCCCTTAGAAGACCATGTTCCTCTACAAACAGATACAAACAGTTTTTGTTCCTGATTCCATAGTTTAGTTCCGAGCGAATCTCATGATGATCATACCTTTGTGACACGTCTTGTGACCGTCTTGTTCCACGTCGAACTTGGATACACGTTCGCTCTCCCGAGTTCGGAGGTCGCTGCCAGCTCTCGCCGCTCGTCGGGTCGCCCGCCTGGTCGCTCCGCGTCGCCATCGGCCGGGCGTCCTCTTCATCGGTCCAGGCCTTGGAGGCCAAAGCTGAAGTCTCTCGGTGTCAACAGGCGCCACGAGCGGCACCGGAGGTCGCCGCGAGAAGAGGGAAGACGGCGGTTCGCGAGGGGTTCGGTGCGTGGCGGTTCGGTTCGTGGCAGCGGGGTTCGGTGAAGGTTTGTGGCAGTGGTCTGTGGGGGTTCTCCTTGGTGCTGCCAGGCAACTGATGAGGTGGTGGGCAGTGTGGTGCTGCCAGGTCAAATCTGAGAGAGGTGATTGTATGGAAACAGATGCTTGGAAACCGCGAGGAGCCCAACGTCAAATATTGCATGGATACCATGCTGCAAGTGCCTGGAAACACTAAGAGCTCTGGGAGTGGGCCAGGATGCAGTCTTAGCATCGATGGAAGTCATGGAATGACGGGGTTCAAACAACTTGACAGCCTATGACAGCCTTGCACGATGTTGTGCTACTATCTTTCCATTGCCGGGTATAATACGCATAGATGTAAAACTGCATTATACACAACATGATTTGTTCAATAAATGAGTCTCAAGAGCCACGGAACCTTTTGAACCCTCGAGTGTTCCTGAAAAAGCAAAAACAAACAACACACTCCACCCCCCCGTCCAGCTCGACGTTTGTTTCATGAACCCAAAAAGCACGCCAAAGCCTGCAACACGCAAAAAACACTCCCGTCGCTCGCTCCTCCGTGCGTTGAGTTCGGTGGCGAGTTCGGTAGTGTTGGCTGCTGCATCTTCCGGCGGTCGGCGTCCTTCCTCTCCGGTGCCGGTCCCGGGTGGGCGACGTCGGCGCTGTCTACGCCGGCCGCGGCGAGGAGCTGGAGCAGATGCGGCACAAGTTCAACTCGGAGGCCTCACAGACGCGGTGCCTCGGACGTTCCGGGTTCCGGTCGGTTCTGCCGCCGGGTCGAAGGCCGGGAAGCCGGCGGGTCGATGAGGGAGAATGAGAAGCTAGAGAAGGGGGTCAAAGCAGCTGTAGCATGATGGAAGCTTCCCATCCAGCTGGAAGTGGAGATATCTATGCTTTTGGTGGCTGAAGATCTTTGCATGTGCAGAGTATTGAGTTCGTGGCTGGTACCTTCCGGGACGAGAGTGGAAGTCGAATCGACGTCCTCGGGTCCCCTGTCGTCCGACGACACCAGCGGTGCGGATCCGACACCCTGCGAGACAGTCGATGCCATGTGTCTTTCGGTGGCACACCCACTAAAGGCAAGAAGAAACGTACGAGTGCCATGTTCTTCAACTCAGAATCCGTAGGAACTGCGGGGCTTTTGCGCTTCTTTGGGACGGGTCGAAGCCTGCGAACATCCAGAAAGCGCATCGACGTTTCTCTTTCTGTATGGCTCAGAAGGGAGCGGAGGAAAGACATGGAAGTCAACACTGATGCAGCTGAGGGCAGATAGGGCAGCTGAGGCAGCTTGTCCCACTGCAGGTGATTCCTGCAAGAAGATTCTTCGACTGAACCGGACCCAATAAGAAGAGCCATGGGCGGTAAAGGTGGGAAGGGAAAAGGAAAGACGCAGAGCAGCTTGGAACGCAACTGATGGCTAGAGTGGGTACATGCGTGTGTGGATGTTATAGTATCATAATAGAATCTTATAGAATCTTATAGATCCATGATATTGTTCATTGTGTTATATAATACACACATCAATGAGGACGTTCGTCAAAACATGTCAAAGCCTGTGACCTGAACTCCTCCGAGACCAACTCTTGGTGCAAAAAGAGCCAAGGGCCACTGGTGTTGGCTCAATCCACGTGCCACACGTGCTGTTGTTTCTTTGTTTTCCTGTCTCTGGGACAAGCTGACCGGCTCATTTGTTGCGGTGGCTTCGAGTCCATTTCAAGCATCTCCGCCTCCCAAAACCCAGCTGACTCGAAACCGCTTGGCTACGCTCTTCATCGTTCGTAACCGCCGGATGTTTGGACAGGGTTTAGAACGGTCCCCAAAAGCCGATTCCCAGACACGACTAATGGGACTGGCATATTATAGATTGGGGTGGTTGACTGGGGGTCTTTCTGGGGCGGCAGTCCAGCCTGGCAGTCCCAGACAGGTCGTGTCTGGGATTTGGGGATTTGTGCCCTAAGAATCGAGGACCTTCAGTTCGGTGAAGGTTTGGTTCGGGTCCAAGTGACCCTGCACACAGGGTCCAAAAGCCGGTCGCAGGGTCCAATGATTCTTAGGGTGGCACAGTTTCCAGTCGACCTTTTCTACTTGGCGGAGTTTACTTTTCGACACTTTTCCCACGATGGGTCTAACTGGGAGAATGCCCTGTCAACCTTCAACTCGTCGGACGTCTAGACCGTAGATGGGATGGGTAAGCAGGAGACTGACTGGTGGACAGAGATTTTGAGACAGGCAAAGTGATGTTCCGAAATGGCAATGGCAACATCCGACTTCTGCTGATTTCCGACTTCTGCTGATCTCATCCGACTTCTTTTCGCTCCGATGTCACCGGAGGGAGATACCCCCAATGTTCTCGTTGGCCGTTGGTCGACTCAGCGACCGTGCGGCGAAACGCTGCGATCGTTAGTCGGATCGTTTCTAAGGCTGGACTACGGTTCAGACGCTTGAACTTGGATGAGCAGCCCTTTTTTTTGAGGGAGGTTTTTGTGGCGGATGAAGAGGGATGCAGCTGATGATCAGCGATGTGCGTGTTTCGATTTTTTTTCTATCTCAAGCAACCTGACAATAGACGTTGTCAAACAGGGATGGATCACTTCCTTTTTTGGGTCGAGCTCCAGTTTTTCAGGTCGAATACACGCTATACTGGCTACAAAGTGCTACAAATATATCCTGTAGACACTTGGAAACGGATCGAATTAGATCCTCTTTGACACACAGCTTTCCTTTTGTGGGCTACCCCAAAGAGTGTCATAGGCATTCCGCTCCTGTGAAATCCTGTGAAACATTTATTCACCTCACTGTTGGCTCCTCGGTCGCTCTTACCTCCTCGGTCGCTCCAGGCACTTTTCAACGTCCGAAACTCGCGTCCGACACGCGGCGCTGGACGGTGCAGGAAGCCCATGCTCAAGCGGAGCAACAACTGGGAGTCCCGTGGAAATACCTCGCGCGCACCGGCGCGCTACGAAGCACCACCGGCCGCGGTGAAGGTGCTGAAGAAGGCCCAGCTGCGAGTTGATTTTCGGGTGCAATGAGACAGTTTGCTTGGCTCAGATCCTCCCTCACCATACCTAAAGTCCTGCTAGTGAACCTAATATCGTTCGCAACTGCAGGAGTACTTGTATAGAAGGGAAGCATTAGGGAAGCATGGGAGTACCCGGGGGTTGTTGTTGCAGAACTCCTTCGTTCTTCCCATCTCGTCCTCTGGCCAGCCAGGCCAACTGGCTCAACCGACAAGGCCCAGCGGGGCCGAAACCGCGCGAACCGCGCGAACCGCGACGGCTGCACCGGGTGTTTGCGGTGCCGAACCGCCGGGGGTTCGGTCGGGGCTCGTTGGCGTTGAGGGCGTCGGGGTTTGCGTCGATGGTTGTTGTTGTTTTTTTTTTTTCTGAGCGACAATGCTCACTGGATCGATTTTCAGAGTGAGGTGATTCTCTGGATTTCTCTGGTGGTTGGAGCTTGTTGGGACTCAGCTACTGTAATACTGTACGTAAAACGCCTCAAGAAACACGTGCTTGTGATATCCTGGGACTTGGTGGCCATCTTGGATTTCGAGAAGCTTTGGGACCCGGAGAGAAGGACGTGGTCGCTTCCCATAGTGACAAACAGTGGTGATGATATACAAAGAAACTGATATCGTTGATTCGTTGATTGTTAATTCTTGGTTTTGCCTGGGGTCTTCTATTTTCCCACAGATGAAACCCCTAATCTTTCAGAATAGGTGTTCTTTTGCCGGTTCCTGGACTAAGCAAATCCCTGGCACCACCCCTGCACATCCATGGACCACTCACTTGAGATCACCTGTTTTCACACCCTCATTTGCACCCACATCGATGCGGAGCCATGGGCACACTGTCGACAGCCGAAAGGTCAGAAGTTGAGCGAGTTGATGGCCTTCCACGGCCTTCATAGCATCCGGATATCCTCCCTACATATGTCTCTTCCTTCGGAGTACCTCTTGGGCGAAAGATTTGTGCAAGGTTTCGCGATCTGTTCATGCGAAAGAAGGTTATATAACGCTTGCAAAATCAGTTCTGTCCACGAAAGGCTTGCGAATGAGAGAGTGAATGAATTAATGACTGACTGACTGACTGAGTGACTGAATGAATGAATGAATAAATGAATGAACGAATGAATGAATGAATTAAATGAAATGAAACGAAACAAAACGAAATGGAATAAGTAAATGAAGTGGAGTGGAGCGGAATGGAAAGGACATGAAAAGAGCTGAAACGAAACCAATGAATGAATGAAACCAAATGAATGAATGGAATGGAATGGAACGCAAATGGAAAGGATTGCTGAATGAATGAGTGAATGAATGAATGAATGAAAATAAAAATACACTAATGAATTAAGGAGTGAATGAATGAATGGAATGGAATGAAATGAAATGAAATGAATTGAAATGAAATGAAATGATGAAAGAATGACAGAATGAATGAATGAAATAAAACATAAATTAATGAATGAATGAGTGAATGAATGAGTGGAATTGAACGGAATGGAATGACATGAAATGAAATGAAATGATGAAAGAATGACAGAATGAATGAATGAATGAAATGAATGACATGAATGAAATGAAGGAAATGAAACGAAATGAAAGGAAAGGACCGGAAGGGAAAGGAAAGGGAAGGAAAGGATGAATGAATGAATGAATGAATGAATGATTGAATGATTGAATGATGAAGAGAAATGAAATGGAAAAAGTAATGAGGGAATGAATGAACGAACGGAATGAAATGAATGAATGAAAAGAAATGAAAATGAAAATGAAAATAAACGAAATGAAATGAAACAATGAAATGAAATGAAATGAAAGAAAGAATGAAAGAAAGAAAGAATGAATGAATGAAATGAATGAAATGAAATGAAGTGATATGAATGAAAGAATGACTGAATGAATGAATGAATGAGTGAGTGAGTGAAATGAAATATTTGCAATGAAATGAAATGATATGAATGGAATGACATGAAATGAAATGAATGGATTGAAACGAAATGAATGACATGAATGAATGAATAAACGAACGAACGAATGAATGAACGAAATGAAATGAAATGATATGACATGAAACGAAACGAATTGAATTGGAATTGAACTGATTGAATGCATGAATGAAAGGAATGAATGAAGTGAAATTAAATGAAAAACAGAAAGTACACAAAGAAAAATGAAATGAAATGAAATGGAATGAGTGAATGAATGAACGAATGAATGAATCTTTCTGTCCAATTTTTGCACAGAATGCAGCGTGCGAAAACCAAAACGCAAGCCAATCTTCCAATCATACCTTCTGCGCAGCGGCTTGCAGGAACATAGACAGCGTAGACCCGAGGAAGACCAATTTCCTTTGCGAACCACACCTGTTCCCACTTACTTGCGTGATCGCTTGACAGATGTACACATAGTCACATAGTCAAGTACTGATCCCCTACTATCTTCCTTCACTGATGTGATTTACCCAAATCAGCAGATCGAATTCCTTTCCAACGAGCATGTGACGAGTTCGCATCTCACTTGGTCAAGCCAAACCTTCCTCCGCGCGCCCCGCATGTCGTGCGTCCTGGGTGTCGCGCGTCGGCTCTTTGCGCATCACGTGTTTTTTCGACGAGGCTTCTTCGGCAAGCAAGCCCTTGATGAGGATGCATTGGAAATGCTGGGCAGCCTCCCCGACGACCGCGCCATGGTGGGAGCGCGTGTTCGCGCGTGTTCGCTGGATTTGGAAGGGAGTTCC